TTTTTTTTTTAAACAATGTGGTTGTGATAACATAAAGGTGATCAGTGCTTTTAATGCTGGCAACAAATTGTAGAATGAGACAAAAATTTCCACTCAGATTCTAGGGGGAGGTCTTTGCTCCAAATTTTTTCTTTCTCCCAGGAAATGAACATGCCATTGCAGCACTACGGGGAGATTCTCAAAGCAATCCAAAACTATTTCAGAAAAAGCACCAATACCCATTTTGGGGAGTAGGGGAGACGGTCCCCAGCAGAGACGGTGCTGATGTTACAGCACCATGCACTTATTACATCTTCTCTGCTGTCTAGTATTCCGGTCCCCAGCTTTTCTTTCAGAGAAAACGGGGCACCCCGACCTGAGTTCCTCCTTGTCTTTATAAACAGGGGCCGCTGGTTTCTTACCGCCAGAGGGCTTCTTGGGGGCTGCGGTGGTTTTCTTGCCATCGTCTGAAAAGAAAAGAGAATTAGGTCGGGAAAAGTTGGCGAGAGAGTGCCCGCCCTCCTCGGAAAGTATTTTTAAGGCTGTGTCCTTTCTGGAGACATGGCGTACTTTGGCCTTCTGTCACCCACACGAGGCTGAGGGGTCCCTCGAACGCGGGCTGCCGGGCCAGAAGTGAGCGTGAGTGCTGCAGAGGTGGATACAGTGAGGCCTCGGAGCGGGAGGAGGCCGTGCGGCCCGCTCGCCCCGACCGCAGGAAACAGCTGCTTCCGTCCGCCCGCGGGGGAACTCCCGCCCGCCGAGCTGAGGCTTCCGCCGAGGTCCTCTGCACATCTTTGGAAAGGGACAGCCCGGTAAGGAGGGACAAGTGTCCCCGAACACCCACGTCCACCAGACCGCCGACAAGGGAGCTCCTTTGGAAACAGGCTCCCTGCAGAGGGAATTCGTGCAGGATCTGGAGAGGAGATCCTCCTGCCTCAGCCTCCTGAATCCAGTGGCAGCATCCTCGTGAGGGACAGAAGAGGGGATGCAGACACGGAGGGGTAGCGAAGCAGAGGCAGAAGGAGAGAGTGGAATGCAGGGCCACCTGCAGCCCCAGAAGGAGGCAGAGGCGGGAGGGTCTCCCCGGGAGCCTGTCCAGGGAGCTGAGTACAACCGCAAGAGTGACAGATAAGCGTGTTTAAAATGACGGTAAGTGTCTATGGGAGTGTGTCTTTTACTGCACTCATTTTTAAAAATATTGAAAAATTCACCATCTGTTCCTTCACCCTGGACCTTTCCCATATTAAGATAGAAGTACTCCCGGGTATTTTTTAAAAAGGACTAAATTAGTACTCACCAAGTGCTTCAGATAAATCAAAGTCTAAAACAGAAAAAATGAAAGAGTCAAGTTATAAATAAGGAAAATAAACCAAATTTCAAAAAAACCTAAAGGTACCAGCAGCCTATTTTATTCTGATTCTGTGATGTCTGCAGCTCTCTGAAATGACCCTGTGACATGATTTCAATCCCTTCTCTAAATAGTCGTTTTTACACCTTAAAGTAAGGTATTCACTTTAAAGAAATAACCACCCCAAGAGTTTAGAGAGATTAAAATAGTGGACGGGCGTGATATTTTTCCAAGCGTATTTTGCTTCAAAAACAAGTTTTGCAACAGATAAGAACTTCTACTATACAGTCTGGAAAAAACGCAGTTAATAAATTCTTCCTCTGCTTGCAACTTTCTTGCAAAGCCAAAGCTGCTTCTTATAGAAGCATTAAAGATGCCCACCCTCCAAGAAAAACACATTACATTTATTTGGGGGAAGAAAATCTCACGGAAATCCCCAGGATGAGGGCGCTGTCACAAACCCGCGGTCTTGTCTCCCGTGCGCTGCTGTGGGTCATGCGTACGGCTGTGTGTGGTCGCCTTTGCCTGGCCGTGTGGGTCCAGCGGGAGTGCGCAAGTGTGGTTTGCGTGTGCGTGTGTGTGTACCGGCGTGTGTGGGCATGATTTGTGAGCACGTGGACCTGGAGGTTTGTGTCAGGGCGACATTGTGTGGGAGCTGCTTCACGTGCATAGGTGTGGGTGCGTGTCTGTGGGGTTCTGCGTGGCTTTGTGTGTAGGTGTGTCGTGTGTAGAGTCTGGGGCTGCGATTTACATGTGTGCACTGGGTGTGTGTCAATATGTGTGCATATGTGTAAGAGTGCAGGCAAGGGTTTGCGTGTGTGAATATGGAAGTTTCAAGGGTGTGGCGTGTGTATGTGCGGACATTACCTGTACCTCCATGTACACGATGGCGTGTGTGTGTGCATGGGAGTGTAGCGTGTGCATATCTCCACCTGCACGTGGTTGTGCATGGGTGTGTTATTACGTGTAGGTGTCTGTGAGGGCCGGTGTGCGCATGTCCACATCTACAGCTGCGGGTGGTGTGCGTGTTTGTACAGGGAGTGTTGTGTGTATATACAGTATAGATATACATGCGTGCTATCATGTGTAGCAACCTGTACGTGACGATGTGTGGCTCATACATGTGCGTGTCTATAACTGCAAACAGTGTGGGATGTATACATTACATGAGGGTCCGTGCATGCGATGTGCTGTGTGTGTCACGTACGCCGCTGCGGGAGCGTGGTTGACATACGTGCATGTCTGTAAGGGTGCTTGTTTCTGCACACGTGGTCATTACAAGTGCAATTTGCACATGGTCGTTTCTGTGTGCGCACACGGAGGTGTGTGAGAGTGCGTGTGGTAGCGGGTGTGCATATACGTCAGTCCCTGCGACTTGGAATGCACACTTGTGCGGTGTAACATGTATGGCTCCATCATATGTGTGTTTGTGTGTGCATCGGTATAAGTATGTACGTGTATGTAGGTAGGTCTGTGTGCACGGGTGGTTTTATGACCCCATCTGCCGCCTCCGCTCTGCAGCCCCGGGATACATTGTTACCCACAGCAGAACTGCGATACATCTTTACACAACTGGCCAAGCCCGGCCCACTACATCTCCAGAACTAATTCCTCCTGCTCCACTGAGACTTTGTATCCTTGCTGCCTTTGTCTCCACTTCTTCCAACCCTGAGATCTTGCAATATTTATCTGTGTGTGCCTACTTTATTTCAAGTAGCATAGTTTCCTACAGTTCCTTCCAGGTTATGCCAAATGACAGGATTTCTTTTTCTTTTTGAAGGCTGCATAGTATTCCACAGTGTACATACACCATCTTTTATTATTATTACTACTATTATTATTATTATTCACACATCTGCCCATGCACATGTAGTTTGTTTCTGCATCTCGGCTGTTAACGGTAGTGACTTGAACAAGGGTGTGTAGCTGTCCCTTGCACACAGCCTTTCTGTTTCCTTTAGATCCACACCTAGTACAAAAATAGCTACATCCATCTGCAACCGTTTCTAGACCAGAAGGATACAAACAATGCGTGGAGAATCTCCTCCAGAGCGGAAAAGGGAGACAGTGTAAGAAACTAAAAGACTAAATAAAATCCATTCCTGGTTACCCTCCCCAAAAAAGCAAGATGCATCTAGTATAATAGATATAGTGAAAGGGGAAGACACTGCTCAAAAGGAAAGAACAACCGGGATGAGGGAAAGGAGAAAAGGAAAGGAAACTTTAAAAAAAACCCAAAAAATAAAATATACATATACATACACAAGGTAA